AGTGTGTGTACCTTATCTTCAGTCATCCTCAGGACAGATTCACGTCCAGTCATGTCAAGCCATGCCTTTAGAACTGTGGGGTTGATTACATGATCCTAGTTAACTCACACTTTCCATATCTTGAAGCTGGTAACATAGCCTTTGCACATTAAGGGATGTCGAAAAAACATCAATTTTTGCTGGGTTAATTTTCACAGTTGCCTATTTTATCTTGCCTATTCATTTTCCTTAATGATGCTCAGCATGTTGCTTAGCGTGTGCAGATTTTTCCTCCTGCAGCCTGCAAAGGTTCAGTGACTTCATGTAAGCAGAGTTTGGGAAACATTATTTTGGGAATAATCATTCTGCTGCCTGAATATACAAGGTAGCAAAGGGAACATTAAAGTTTCACTAGAACTTGAAACTGGCAAGGAGAAAACATGATTGGGTTTCTAAAGAAAACCTATTATTACTCCTGATTACATCAGGCTAAAAAGAAACCCTGTATATGATTTTCAGGATACTGTCATCTATTCCCACCCTGCATTACAAGACTTTCTGTCTCTCTCTTTGATGTGAATACATTTGTAACTTGGCTCCTGATGCCCATCAAACCTCCTTATAATCATGTTCATTCTAATAATACCATTGATAACACTAAAAATGGCTGGTTCCCTAGGATACAATATTGTAAAAGTTTAATGAAGCGTCTTCCCTACTATGTGTCACAAAGAAAACTTGTCAGTGAGAAGTTGGGTAGAGAGGAAATGTTTTGGGCACCAGAGCTTTCTTCCAGAGGCAAAAAAGATAGGCAGGGGTGGAAGGAAGTCAGGGGAAACAGCCATCTCAGAAGTGTTAATGATGTGCACACAGACAATGTGCAAGTGCTGATGGGGAGGGGGGGACACAACTCCACCCTGCTGTCAGTGCAGAAAATTTGAGGGGGCATGTGACCCTGTGGCCTGCCCCCCTCACCCATATGTCACCTATGGATGCACACACAAACAAGTGCTTTTGCATATGAAATACAGTAGGGAAGTTCTGGAAGAAAATGTGACGGGCTGGCTGGCAGTGACCTAGCCCAGGGGTCTGAAAGGGCAAAAGATGATTGGAGGACTTGGGATTCCCTTTCCTCACCAATCAGGCCCCAGAGACTCACCCTCCATTTCCCCTGATTGGCCCCTTGGGTCACCAGGAGGGGGGATAAAAGGGGCAGTGTGGCTGACTCAGGAGAGACTGGTGAGGGACCACAAGGAAGGAGATTCAAAGAGCTGGGCCAGCGGGGCAGGAGCAGTTGCCCCAGAAGAGCCTGAAGGAGTGGCACCTGCAGGCAGCAGTTGGACCCTCAGCAGTGCGGCATGCAGCCGCCAGGAGAGGCTCCCCGCTGGGCTCCAGGATCCCCTACGAGAGGCTGTGGCCAGCAGGAGAAGTTCCCCAGCTCCAGCAAGGATCTCAGTAGTGACCTGAGAGGTTCCCAGCCCTGCTTCCAGCTCCTCCAATAAAAGGCCCGGCAACTCCACGTGAGGCTGGGGCTCCGGGAAGGTCAAGACCCCTAGCAGTTTGGTATAGTGCTAGCACTGGTGGCTGTGTGGTAGTTTCCCCCTCCCATGTGGGAGAGCTGAGTTCATAGTCCCAGTTGGGGTGAAGGAAATGTAACAGGGAGAAATTCCTCTCGCAGTGGAAAGGGGCCATTGTGCTTTCTCCTGCTCCAGGTACCTAGGCCCTATATTTCCCTTGTCATTTGACATTTTGTATTTTGCTTTTTATATTTCACCAACCAGTATTGTTTGTTCTGCTGTTTGTGTTTTACATTTCAGTTAACCCTGTCATTTGTCGACTGGATGAATATATCTATGATTGTAAGTGTCTGACCTTTGTTGAATCCTGCCCCTTTGGGGCATTGTAATGTCCCCTATCCCCCCTGGTTTATACTGGTTATGTTCCCAGTATTGTTCTCTCATTAAAAAGTATATGGTCAAGTCCCCATTGGTGGTCTGGCTCTGCTCTATAGGGAGAGGAGAGTCCCTACACCTCCCACAGTGCTTGTGTACCTGCTTTGATCCCTTCAATTGGAGAGGGGGTACCTCTTGGAGTACCGCCCAGGTTACAAAAACAAAGGCTGCAAACTGGAGATTCAAGTTAGGCTATAATATGGAGGAAAGATTGTAAGGTAAGAACTGGAGAAAGGAAAGCCCTCTCATATATGATCTGACTCATGAATTGCACATGTAGAACACATATTATGAAGAATAAGTAGACAGACATGATCATGCATGGAAGATTGGAATGAACAAGAAGTGAATATGGCACATCAGAATTCAGAAGTAAAGTGAGGCAGGCTCATAAAATTTTTGCGGAAGAGAAGGAGAATTTTGACATCAGAACTAGTGAATGTTATAGAGAATTAGCATTAAATAATCCTGCTTCCTGGAGGCACCATTCTGGTGGTAGCACGCTGGACACTTTCCTCTCTTTTGTCCTCTAATCGTCCTAGATTTCAATGGCAGGATGCTTCACTACTGCAACGACACAGTTCCCTGCTGAATGTGGCAGCATGTATGTGCTTTGGTCCAAGTTGATTTGAGGTTGCCAAGAGCCAGGGGGAGAAGAACTGAGTGGCAAATGTCACCTATCTGGAGGCAAACTGCCCGGTCCACCCATCTCAAAAAATGACCTCAGCTTACCAGAGAAGCTCAAGTGGTTTGTCAGGTTGCTCCTTGAATGCTCACATGAGGGAGGTAAACTCATTTCTCATCAAACTGAGCTATCTTGTTTTACTGCCCTGAATCCAAATGCTGAAAGTTTGGTTCAGGGGACTTGCAACAGAACCAGTTGTGCTGCATGGTTAAAGACAAGGCCAGGGAAAGCCCCATGATCTTGTAGGCCATCTCCACAACACAGGATGCAGGAGAAGGCTGGTGATTTTGATGCCCTAGTAGCCATCTCCAGGGCATGAGCAGGAAAAAGAGGCTTAGTTTAGATCTTTCTGGTTCCAAATATATGAGGTTAGCCTGCTTCTAATTTCTCTAGACTCTTCAAGGTAAAACTCAATTGTAAGTTTTTGCTCAGGGTGCTTGTGCAATGGATGACTTGCTCTTTGTCCTAAATGCAGCACTATTTGCTAAGGAGAGGAGAGGGCTGATGCAGGACCTCAATGTACCAAAACATCCTGTTGTCTGTTCTTTTCACAGCCTTGTTGCTCTGTGAAAATCCTTTTTCTTAATCCTTGGTTTAGGATTGCCTGGGAAAATATTCTAATGAGCACTCTAATGCTGAATGAGAGTCTCCCTTAGGGAGTGGACTGCTACTGCACTAATGTTATGCTCATTATGCCGTGTGCTTCTCACACCCCAGAGTGCTAAATGTCAGGAAACACAAACTGCCATGATGGGCCTAATCCTCATGAGAAGAACTAAACTTTAATCACAAAGTGCTCTTAAACTTTCAGGAAAGTTAATTTATTTATAGTTCCTTTTTTGTTTCATTAGTTCCAGAGAGACTTCAAGTGACTCCCTGCTCTAAACATTACACATTTCCATTTTTGTTCTAGCATCCACATGTCAAAGCCAAAATCAAGCTTTCAAGGGAAATCTAAGAAACAGAAGCAAAAGAGATAAGAAAGCCCTGTGAAGCACTGATGGTGACAGCCCATATGACTTCAGTTCATCTGAGACCTTCCTATTGTGGATTTTTCTCACCTTCACATAAAAGGTACAGTATCTGTTACAACCACATATGTCTGCTCTAAAGATGGATTCCATTGATTGCTTGAACTTTGTGTACCTGATCTTGGTAGTGTTTAGAAGTCCACAGACAGACAAGATGTTCTTACTATTCATGCCTCTCCTACTCAGCTGCTGGATGTTGCAAATGTAACTCAAGCCTCAAAGATTTAGCAATAAAGGCCTGCTCCTACAGGCACCTACTACCAGCTGTAATGCTGACTCCTGTGAGCTGCCCCCAGGGTTTCAGTGGGATTGCTCACTATTATAAAGTTTTTTCTGCTGATTTGGGTCCTATTTGAAAAAAAAATACATTCAGTGGAAGATGAGAGGAGAGTCAATGTGCCTTAGATTAGATTACAGGGAATTCTAGAGTTGTGTGTGTGTAAATTGGGTTGGGTAGTCGTGATAACTCTTGCTGGATTAAGTTTCCTTCCCTTGTTCATTCTTCTGTCTCTTAAATTTTTAATGCGCTTACATCACTTATTGCATTGTATTATACTGTATCAATCCTATGCTTCAGGGCTTCTACCAGTTGTCTGCTGGGGCCAGGAAGAATTTCTGTTTTGCCTCTTTCCCTGCACCTTGAATATATTATATTGCTTCCAGTTTATTTTGTCTCCCTCTGAAGGACTAGACACAAGCCATTGCTAGAAGTGAGTCTGGCTGGGGTACGCTGGTGGGTCTAACTGAGAAATTCAACTAGTATAGGTCTCCAACAATGGGGACGGAGCTGACAAGCATCTGCAGACGGTGGCAGTGGGAGCAATGCTGGCGAGCGCCTGCAGACTCTGCCGGCGGTCTTGGTGGTGGGCTGCAGATGTTGCTGGTGGTGTTGATCCTGTTCGGGGGGGGGGGGGGGGGGGGGGGTGCCCGCCACCCCGGGCGCCCGCACCAA